TATTTTTATTTTGGTCTCTTTGGCTTTATCTCTTATCGTGTTTAATTAACTAGGAAAAAAATCTTTTTCTCATTTATGATACGAAATGGAAATTGTTACGACTGTAGTGCCATCTATTTAAGGTTAGACTAGACCTTTTTTTAAGAGGGAAATGCTTCGCTACGCATACTCATACCTCGTACCTAGAGGGAAGATGCAGAGGTTTTGTAGAACTATCTCCCGTTCCCTACGGGAATACCCACTTATACCCTCGGTCTCTTTCGCATATTCATCTTAACATAAATGGGAAAATTTACAAAACCGACGTAAGACCCGTCATGATGTATGGATCTGAATGTTAGGCAGTAAAAGGGAAGGATGAAAGGAGAATACATGTGGCGGAAATGCAAATGTTAAGATGGATGTGTGGGGTAACAAGATTGGATAAGATACGAAATGAGTATATTTGAGGAAGTTTGAGAGTAGCCCCAGTGGTTGAGAAAATAAGGAGTAAAAGGTTAGAGTGGTATGGGCATGTTATGAGAAGGGATGAATCGCATGTAACAAGAAGGATGTTAGTTATGAATGTGGAGGGGTACATCGGTAGAGGTAGACCTAGAAAGAGATTGATGGATTGCGCGAAAGGTGACATGATCAAGAAGGGAGTGATGACTGAGATGACGGATGATAGAATGCTTTGGAGGACGAAAACCCGGTGCGCTAACCCTACTGGAGTAGGATAAGGTAGAGGAGATGATGACCCTCGGTCTCTTTCACGCATGGAGGTATCCATGACCGAATACGCTAGCCGTAAAATCAGCTTCTTCTCTGTGGTAAGACATGTTTCTCTAGTCTTCTAGAAAGACGCACAAAATATCATGCACGCCTAGCACACGGGCGAGGGATCACATGCCTGCTCGAACGATCCTATACACAGACCCGATAGACTGAAATTATCGAAATGACTGACCTAAAGAGACTGCTGACTTGATTTTAATTCCGTTCTCTTCTTATGAGTCGATCTCTAAGAAAGTATCTTTTAGTATTGAATTGAATTGATCAAATATTAAATAGGACTAAGTGTGCCAATACCAGATATAAAACAATAATGCTAATTAATTAACTGTCGATAATTATCTTGTTTGTATCGCAGATATTTTGTATCTAGTAAATTATGCTTATCAAAATAATTTAGGCATATCGTGGTCTTATCATTTAAAAAATAAGCTGTTCAGCAAAGCAAAGCTATTTTACTGTATGTTGTCCCTGACCCATCGCACTTAGAATATAAGGTCACACGACTATTTATAGAATATGAAAGTAATATGTCTGAAGTTTACTAGATTAGACACATACTCGTAGTATGATCCCTGTATTGTATCCTGTATGTCCACTGACATTTGACTACTGTACTGGTATCCATCCACCACAGATACTAAACCTAACCCAGCGCGTCTTTAAAGCAATAGAGTGCGTCAAAGGACAGAAGATTTGCCGGGAAAAAGCTAAGAGCGAAATTGTTTTATTGACAGTAATATCACAGGAAAGTAGCTGATGAATACAGGCTTATTTTGTTTTTTCTTTTTTTTTTAAATCACGCTGACGAAGCCGGGGACCGCTAGTAGCTATTATAAAAAAATCATATATAAATGATAAGTTGATTGTAACTTTTATGATTTGATAAGGATGACCTCATTATGGTGCAATCGCTTTTTGTAAAGTTTATTTTGAAAGCCTCCGCAATTAAAATTCTTATCATAGTCTTTATAATTATTTATAGGATAATTTAACAGTAGTAGGGGCTGCTGGATGTCGATTCAACGACCACACAGAAGCCAAGCATCAAGTGGCAGTAATTCAGCACTTCATCAGACGAGTGTTTTTTTTTATAATAAAAGGGGGCAAACGAGCGGTAGCAACATAGAGGTGGTCAACGACGTACTAGAGTCATCCTAGCGGCCAAACTCTAGTTCTCTTCCACGTCCTACCTCATTCAAATAAATGGGAAGAACAGGAGTAGCGGGAAAGAGGATGTATATGAGAAGAAATTGTCCCTTTGCTGTACAATTTTTATTTTGCCCTTCACAGCGTGCAACGCACAATATCCTCAAAATATTCTTTTGTTTGCAGATGTGTGTGTGCAGAGGTTACATCGTTGTTGACGTATTATTAGTTCGCTACAAAAAACAATCAAATATTTTAGATAGGCTTGGACACAAAAAAATAAGAAAAGTAAATAACACTCCAGGTAATTTTAAACGTGTTATTCCCGGAAGGACGATACTTCCTTTTTTGTGTGACCATTCACCCATTCACCAAATCACTCACCAGGTAGGGTGCTACTTAATAATTATAGTAGACTCATTACGTGCATGTGAAAAAAAATTAAATTACCATTTGAAGATAGATTTCTAACATTTATTTCTGTGTGTTTCAAATTCTGAACAGTACAGCACACAGTACACAATACTGAACATTCTGAATATTCTGTCAACAGTTCAAATACAATCCAACCAATCAAACATACAGCAATAAATTACTTGCCTTTGACTTACAACGTGTAGTGAGAAAAACTTTGATTTTCTGGCGGCCATTTTGGATATAAAGTCGCAAGTTCTTGATAAATGTAGGCCACCGACCGCGACGGCACAGTTAGATGTTAAGATAAGAAAAGCTGTAACTTGCAGATACTCTGGAAGACCGTTAGATCTCATTCTTTGTACAGTTGCTTATAATAATGACAAAAAACCGCCGTAAAATTTCATTACTTTAATGACGCAGTTAGGCGGATGTATATTAAAATTAAAATACGGCAATGGAATTATCGACCTTCGACTTATGATAATGCACAGTTCTTAAAGACTTGTTACAATCACAATTGGTTTCTACCAGTTTTTTAAAATAAACCTATTTCAAATGACAACTCTTGTCTTTGGTATTTGTAGCTGGTATATGATGATTTTCATTAGTTGAAGAACTACAACTCTCAGTTTCGTCTGATAAATAATTTACTGCAATCTCCTTCTTATAAATCTCCATTATGTACGAGTATGTTAATCTTTTATCTGTTAATGGAGTCCATAAGCCAGGTAAGCTTCCTAACACAGTGGGTTCGATCCCCGGTGTGAGCCGACGATGATTATAAACCGAAGCCAAACTTTTTGCAATATAACTCATTAACCGAATGGTGCAAAAAAATCACAATTAAGTTGGTACAATTGATAATAGCATTATGTCTGATACGTCTGCAGAAGTATGTCACGATATGAAGGGAAACAGTATGGGTCAGCATAGAAGTGACATGACCATCGCCAGGCGGCTTATAGAAATACTAATGTTCCTAGATACCCGTGCAGATAACGCAAAACACTTCAGTCAGTTTTAAAGCATTTTCTTTGGAATAAAAAGTATTGTTACTACTAGCCTCCCTCCCCCTACGACCCGTACCCGTAATAGAGTCCGTCTAATCCTGCTTTTCGTTCGGTTTAGGTAAATTCCGAAAACTTCCATTGAGTCTTTAATGCCTTTGTTTTCGATATAAAAAATATTTTTATTGTCTGTAAAGATTTTCTTTGTCTATGGCATTCAATTTTTTTAAAATGGCATTTGTATTTGTTCTACTTTAAAAATACCATTCTACTCCTACTTATTCGAAGTTGGAACCACGCAGGATGTATCATAAATTGTATATTGTATTTTATAACTCACACGTGGATTTTCCCGCGTAACTGATGTCTTCCGGCAACTTATTTTCATATCAAAGCGGTGGCTAATTGGCACTCGATATTGTTTTTAATAAATATTTAGTAAATATGTAAATTATTTTAAATAAAGCTTTCGTACCTTATAAAATACGTGTTTTGTTATCACAAATGTAACACAAATTCATTTATCTTTTGTATCCATCAGTATTACCAAGTTATGGTATACTAATGTCCTTTAAGTTAACACCCCATCCAATACCATAAATTGGGGTAGTATGACAGAAAGGTAAATGTTACTTCTCTGAAGCCAAAAATTTTGGAGACTTGGAACCACTTATTTCGTTAGGTCTTAGTTTAAAGTAGTAAATTGTTTTGCTAAAAATTAAATCTTCGAGTAAACTTTGTAACTTGGTTCAATTTTCAGCCGAGGTAAACTTTGTGCCTAAAATATAAATCAAGGATCAAAAACGTTAATTAAAATAAACATCAATTAGACAAGACTATAGCGAGGAAAAAGATCTTCCGGGATGTAGCTGAAAATTGTGTTTTTTTCTGTTTTTAAATAATTAGGAAAACCTGATGTGTCTAGTAATCAATAAATCTATAATAATACGCGGTTCTATTTTTTATCAACATTTTTATTATTTTCAAAAATGAGTAAAATTAAAATAAAAATTAAGCTAAAACAGTTTTACTTTAGTATTTCGCTTATAAGTAGGTTAGAAGTGCTTACGTAAGCTTGTAATTGCATTATATATCTACCTACGATCTCTTTACGCTCATAGTAAAATACCTAAACATTTGACATCTACTTTTTACTTATTCCTGTCCCGCTCACTCATGCAGGGGATTATTGTTAGTGGAATGCGCGCGTCGGCTAGTCTCACTACACGAGGCATTAAGGCGGAATATCTTATTAGGCGGCACATGATAGCACTCTGTTGCTATCGAAATAGAGTTGATTTTAACGTGCTTAGTCGAAGTAATTTTTCTTCTAACATGTCGACAGTGTTACGAGACTATCCATAGTGACTACCTACTTTGTAAGAGTACAATCATAAATCTTGTTTATAATCAGGAATAATTATGTGTCTAAATAAGGATTTAAACATGTCAAAAAATTGGTAAATTTACAAAAAAAAATATGGTCCTTATTGAATTTTTTGAAACTCAAAAACAGGCTCATAGTTTAGCAGCAAGTTATGAAAAGTCCTTGAGAACTAGTCTCGTAAGGAGTGCGGCTACGTCATCGACGGTATTTTTGTAGGTATGTATACCACTAGCTTTGGCCTGATTGGCCAACAAAGCCTTGTCGGCAGCCATTTTGTTCAATGCTGAGTCACCAAAAGGTGAAAAATATACATGAACCGCACTCCCCACGAGACTATACAACGGTATTGGGCATTTCCCTCGTGAACACAAAATTTGGGATTCATGTTCCCGCAAACTATGCGTGAGGATAGGAGATATTTCTTTAAAATTTTCCTGAAGAGTTTTCTTCAATTCTGAAAAAGTTTTGACGAATAATAATATAAATAACTGGGAAGTTTCAAAAAGTTATACAAACAACAAGACGGAAGTTTGTTTTCCACCTTATCCTTAGTCGCCGCAGGTCGTCGCCGGCATACACACGTTTGGGCGTAATTGAATTTCCGAAAAAAAATTGTGTTGAATAAACAACGATCGCATATTTTGTTAAAGAATTGAAACAATTACCTGTCAAGATTTCAGTGCAGTTGTTACGGAGTGCAGTGCTAGTGTTTACGTAGCTTTCAGAAGCTAATGTCACAAACGGACATATGATGTAGTCGTGCCTATCTCCTGGATCTTATGGACTTGTTGAGTACAGTGGCTTAAGAAAACTCAAACATGACGGAAACTACGATAGTGAAGGTGAAAACCGAGCGGCCTGATGAGGCGGAGATCAGGGAATTGGCTGCTAAGATGGTGGAGGCCAATAAAGCGAAGGCAATAGCAGCTTCTGCAGCGGTGCCTCGGCCTCCAGGTTTGGCGGGAGCGGCACCTGTTGGCCCTGGAGGTCAGATGGGCATCCTGAATTATTTAAACCGAAAGAATGGTGTATCAATCGAGGTGCAGAGGCCCACTTCTGATGAAAAGAAGACGCCGGCCCCAGATGAAGCCAGTTATAAAGGTCATTTCGGCTGGGATATGCTCGGCAAATGTCATATACCTTACATCTATCGTTCCGGCGAAAAGTATGTTGCGGTTCGCATGGTGGAGATAAAGCTTCTCAACAAGTATTTGAACTATCTACACGCGGACATTTACTCCTGTACATGTATCAGGAGCTATTATATTACGGAAGTGGAAGCGCGGCTTCTCAACGAGATAAACACGCGACATTGTGACGGTCAGTTTGGTCGTGATGCCTTCACTCAGAAGGATTTAGTGGTGAGACTCTCGGATGCTTACGAGTTCTATAATTTCTTGGACGTTTGTTACAACAAATTGTTACGTGGTACGACCAATAATAAGGACAAGTGTGGCTTCATTAGGATAAACAAGGAGTCTGTAGTGCCGTACACAGTGCGTGATAATCAAAAGTTTGTTCCATTATTTTATTTTGAAGGTGAGACGGACAACTTAAAGTTGAAGGCGGATCAGCTGAAAGGCTGGGACCTGTCGTATTTGAAGTTCTGCTGTAAAGTGCAAGGAATACGGAATGAACTGTTTGCCAGCGAAACTTGTTCAGTGATAAGTTTGTCGGACATTAAGAGCTACTTCCCGCCAGGAACGGAGTTCGAGGAGTACTGGCCCAACAAAGTGGTGGAGTCGCAGCTACTAATATCAGCCAAAGGTAATTTTTATATTGAGATTTTTTTTCATACAATACTCTATATTTTTCCCTCGACTTCGTCTGTGCAGAATTAAAATATGAGTGAAAAGGATCTCTTATGGTATTCGAGACTATGTTCCATATTTGTACTAAATTTCAATAAGGTAACTAGAATCGTTGCAATGTTATTAAGTAAATATATCAATCAAATGTATCCTACAGAATTCATACATATTTTCAGGATCATAAGTACCCTATTTGTTCTTTTAGACTATTTTTTAATCAAGTAAACAATTCTGGAGATGCCTTTTAACAAACATCCAGCGGAACATTAGCATTTATGATATGAGTAAGATAGAACTGGTATTCATTATAAATAGCAATATTGTCTAGAATATCTTATGAAATATTCATTTATATACTAGCTTTTGCCCGAGACTCAGTCTGGATGAATTGGAAAAAAAATCAAAAGTAAATAGCCTAGTTCTTATAGACTATCCTCTACATCTATGCCAAATTTCATCGATTCAGCCATTTAGGTTACAAACTCTAACAAACATCCATCTAAACTTTTGGATTTATAATATTAGTATGAATATCATACAAAATTTAATATTCCAAGTGTGGAACAGTTTACCTCATAATCTTATAAATAAATGAAACTAGCGGGGGAAAGTATTGGTTTATCAAATCTTTAATATCTCGACAATTTTCTAGAAGGATTAATCTTGGTGAAAACTTTTATGTGGTCTAATCCATTTACAAAAGTCTGTTAATACATAACTGTTATACAATATATCAATAACTTTCAATCAATATTTTTTAAATTCATGTATTTAAGAATATTAAGGTTTAAATAAATATTCTTGCAATAATATAATCTATTATTTGTTTGTACACTGGCTGCTATTTAAATGGACTGATCCGATATGTCTCTTTTTTAATATGTTTCGTAACAAAGTATATCTAGTGTTTAACTAAAATTTATAAATCATCCACATTTATTTAAGTTACAACAATATAAGCATGTCCCACCAAATGGTCAAATGTCCGATAACAATCCAATATGTAAAATATGTGATGGGAATATTGGATTTTGTTCCCTTATCTGATAGCGATGTCACTTTTAAGCTATCTGAGCCTTTATCAGCCAATAGTGGGAAAGGCTTTTAGTCTCTCTGTAAGGTTACATTTGTTTTTAGGTAATTGTAACAATTGTGCTTTTCTTAATGGGACACTTATTAGTTAGCTGATATAATGTGTAATTAAGCTATCTTAACCTACAGTTAATTTTCTATATGTACTTGCCTGATAAGTCATTGACATCAAAGAGTACAAAAATATGAAAATTGCATCAGTAAGTATTCTGTGATGGCAATTTGTTAAATGTAAACAGTATGCAGGCAAATTTATTGCTTTTAGTTGCAATAAAAATGTAGAAAGTGCATTAAAAATGCACACTAGCAAAAAGTATAGTAAACAATGTAATTGTAAGCAATTATTGTTAGTACAATTATAATGCATTTCTAATATTTTTGTTGCATGTGAAAGTGATAATTATCAACATAACACAGTATTAAACCTATATTAATATTAAATATGTTTAAACTGAACAGCAGTATCCTTAATATTACATATGTATGTATGTTTTTTTTTATCAGGTATTTACAAAACAGTTCTTAAGTCTTTACAGATGCCTTTATAAAAGTTAATGTCTAATACAAAATGTTAGTGAAACTAAGAGAATATTAATCTCTGTCTAAAAAAGCTAATTAAACTGCCTCAATATGTTGGCGCCAATTTTTTATTCAGCTTTTGTAACTAAATACCATTAAAAGTACATTAGATCTCTAGAATGTATTGATATTAGTACAAATTAGACTTTATTATAAGGATATAAAGTTTATAATGAAATTTGTAACATATTAACCCAATTTGTCTTGAATCTTAACATTTTATCTATACAAAACATTGATTAAGATATTTCTGTACAAACACACTTGTTGTTCAGAAATATACACACAAATGAATTTAAAAGAAGCCACAAGATCTAATCATTAAGTAGATTTTGATAGTGAAATATTATACTAATATTATACATGTGAAAGTTTGTAAAGATGGATGAATGTTTGTTTCTACACAGATATTAATGAAAACTGGCATAGATGTAAAACATAGGCTATTTACTAAGTAATTTTTTAATCCTGCACATATGAATTTGTAGGCAAGCTATATTTCTAGTTGTTCTCATTATGATTTAGTTCAGAAGATTATTATTGTAAGACCAATATAGTAATTTAGAAGTAACTCATTAAATTTAAAATTTTAAAATAGTGATTTTGGCATGATATAATTTTGTAATTTAAACATTTTACCAACCACTACGTAAATCTCTCATTTTAATAATATGCCAAGAATTGTCTTAAAATCCTCGTATCGTAAAATCCGTATCTCATTTCAATCTATATTAAAATAAACAATCTATTTGACCCACAAACCTAAAACTGTCACTGTTTTTCTATTTGAATAGTAGTTATCTTAATTTTGAGTGTTACATAGTATACATATTTGTATGTACATAATACTTGTTTTCCTTGTTCATTGCCGTTGGCAGTGAGACATTCGAGAAAGACGCGAAACCTTCAGAGAGCCTTGACATGATAAAAATAATTTGCATGACTATTCACAGATAACTTTAGGTCTGCCTTTTAACTGATCAATACAATTCTAACTTAAGTGTGGTATTATTGTTTTGGAATAGAAAGAGAAATGTCGCACATTTCTTAAAACAATTGGTTGCCTTCGACATTTAATCATTTTGTTAGTTTTTTTTTCTATTATTAACGAATTGAAATATCCATGTCCGTCTTTCGGATCGTAAGTGTGATCTGGAGGAAAGGATATTGCGGTTTTATAACGTCATATTATCTAAACAATTGCGTGTTGTGGAAGTCCACTCTGACAATGGCTATGACGTCAAATCGCAAAACAATGCTCATAACAAACTACGTAAACAGCTAAAATTTTAAATTGGTGTTTAAAATTATAGAAAATTTAATTATCTTCACATATGTTTATGGGATTAACTATTACAAGTATGAATATTTAAGCAATTTGCGCGAGAAAATATTCGTTTCTTTACTTGTTATTACTAGACAATGTAATCAATGTGTGATGTACAGGGTCGGCATCAGGCGGTGGGCAATGGACACGCGCGCCGCCCGCCCCGCCGCCGGGCACGAGCAGTGCGCACGCGGCGAGCAGTGCGAGCGCAGCGGCGGCGATGGGCGGGGCGCGCGGCCGCCGACCTGCGACGCGGCATTCGCCCGCAGCCGCGGCGGCAGCGCTACAAATACCGCACGGTGGACTTACCGCAGCTGCTGTTCAAGCACTCGCCAACAACTGGAATCTGCCCGGCGCGCTCTCGCAGGCGCAAACGCAGCAGGTGCTGCGGCTCGCACAGGTACAACACAAAACTGACCATACAATAGGGATTGCACCAACACATGCCAGTCATTTACTCCTGAATACAAAGATCCCCGATCATTTTTCTCGCAACGTTTATTGATTCATCAACGATATTGCGTACTTTATTCTCACCCTTATACAAGAGAGAGAATTGCTATAGAATTTGTTGTAAGTAGAGACAAATACAGATGTTTGATGTTTTTCGTGGTGGTAGGCGCAAGTGGCGGCGCAAGCGCAGGCGGCAGCGCGCTATAACCTGGCGGCCAGCATGCCGCAACACCGCTCGCAGCATCAACGGAACGTGCAGGTCAGTAACTCTAAACCTCGCGCTAATTATACACTATACAAACTACACACTACCCCTTTCAGAGCCCTTTAGCGTAGTTTTCTCATTTTATTCATATACAATTAACTGAAAATTAAATTAAAAAAAAATAGCTAAGGCGTGGTCCTCGATCTCGTATGTTATGTCGTACATATTTGTGTCTTTGTTTTACTTATGTTGCAAAGATAATATTTTGAACAATTAAATATAATTGAAGTTCAACTTTGAACATTGGTTTTATTGTTTCAAGAAATGTATTTTTAATTTGCGCCTAGTTTCGTTGCAATTGCACGAGGTTTTTATGCTCCAACGATGCAGTTATTAATTCCGTATTTTTAATTAGATCTCATGAGGCGAGGGTTTTATACACACTTAAAAAACCACAATGGTACTTATTGAAAATATTTACATGATCACTCTCTAAGAACGTAACAAATATTTCATTTCGAATTCCAATATTAAAAAAGATAAAAATGTTTAGGTTGTAGGGTTTGAATAATGCACTGAAGTGGAGCTTATTTTATTGCGATTTCCATTGAAAACAATAAAAATTAAATAATATTCAATGAATCACACAATTTATTTGAATGGAAACACAAGCAATACATATTTTAAGGAAAAATGTTCATAATTTTTTTACCATATTTCTCTAACGTGGGAAGCATCTTGAAAAATCAGAAATAGCATATTTTTGAACAATGTAAACCCACATTTGTATAAATTTGAATGATGTGATTGGTTGCATTAAACCATAACAATTTGCAACCTAAATATATAATTTCATTGCTGGATATGAAAAAACTTTACTAAGTATGGTATACACAAATACTCTTTGGAAATGTAAAATACATTAAAATTAGTATGAAAGACTTGAATCCAGGATTATTGAATGCTACCTTTTTTACTTCCCTACATGCATGTGTTATAGATTTCCTAAGCTTGCTACAAATTCAAAAATGGTGGGTTTTTATTTTGATAAATTTATATTGTTATTTTCTTTGCCTGTATGGGATCCTCGACTGTGTGAAGAGAGCCAGGAGCTTGTAGTGGTTAATTTATTCTGTATATATATTTTGCGTTTGGTCGGTGTTGTGAAACATGTGTATCGTTGGTTGCAGTTTCCGAACAGTTCAATAACAATGGCGATGGCGCAGCAGCCGCCCCCACCTCTGGTGCGGAGCACTGCGAACACCAACACCATGAAGTGAGCATGCTTCTTATACCATCTTATATCATACTCACCATATGTACAGTCAGGCTAATTGGCGGTGTTTCAACTTAAAAGCTACAATTACATTTTTAAACGAGACGCGAAACAAAAATCAATACAACGCAGCTTATAAATGTGTTTGAACGAAAAAAGTCAGTGATCCACTGCTAGTATATTTTCTTTAATAAAAAGCCCTTACGCTTAAAACACGCTTTAGGTTATATATTTTCATGCTATTAAATTTAGGGGCTAGATAAATTCGAAAAAAACCTTCATGTTCGAAAGGGACCGTAAACTATAAGCTGCCAACATTGAGGAAGCGATTGTCATTTATCATTTGAATTTGGACATTTGCGGATGAAGCCGCACTGGAACAGCTAGATAATGTAGGAGAGGCGGTGTCTGTCTCGTTGCAGTGAACAAGGCAATTTTTCCAAAAGTGGAACACCGTGGATTTCTCGAATGTACCATTCCCGCCAAATACCATTTATAGAAACATTCTTGTATGTTAGAAAATTTCTCCATACTATAATAGAATATATATTTACATATTCATCAAGGCTTTTTACTGCAGCTATGTTTTTTTTTTGTACGTTTAACTTTTTTTTTTTAATATCTGTAAATATTTGAAAACCCTTTAATAAGTTGTTAGTGTGATGTGTGATTTCATACTGAACTTTTCGTATTTAATTATGAAAGTTGACATGTTTTTATATGAAAGTAATAAACCAGCTTTTATCTTATCTTGAGCTTTGATAATACTTAAATCTCAAAACACCCTACTATCAACTACAGTGATCTATTCTTATCTAATTAAGTATTATAAGTACAATTTGACAAGCCAGCAAAAATACATATAGATTAGAATAAACATGATGTTTGTAATTCCGTTCATTACTTTTATCCTCACTTCATTTCATCCATGCTTCATTATGTAGTTTACATATAGCTTGTTTTAAAAAATGTGATCCAAAAACTACAAACTTCCGTTTTTGGGGTGTAAATGACTTAGGTATATCATATCGTACATTTGAGGTTGGATATGGACCACGCCTTCTAAATTATATAATATTTTATGATTTTTTTCTAATTAAAATCATCCATATATACCTCCAGAAAGAGTTACATTTAGGACCTATTGATGTTACTCTTTATCATCACTAGTAGTCGCTCGCGGCACCGTCTGTATGTAACCGTATGTTATTCCTGACTCAAATTACGGCGAGATTCATTCAGCCATTCTGGAGATGCATAGAAACATCAAAACTTATGCATTTACAATCATCATTGACTTATCTTTGTACCTACGAAGGGTCGGCTCAGCTTTTCCATACATTTCTATCAGAGTTTGCATTTATAATATTAGTAATACTTGTATATTGTTGCAGTGTTCCACCTCAAGTCACAACCGGGACAATGAATGGCCACTCAACCTCTCTGTCCGTGGAGCCGCGCAAACGGCTTACCCCTATAGCAGACATCAATACAAATGGCAACCATACGCCGTATAAGGTAACATTTACTTGATAATATATAAGAATAATATTAAATTTAGGTCCTTACAACCTCTAAAGATTTGCGAAAAGAAAAAATATTCAAATAAGACTATTTTTTTTATAATATAAGGTGGCAAACGAGCAAGCGGCCACCTGAATACACCGAAATGAAAAGCGACCGCTGCCCATAAACATCCACAATTGCAGTTGCGTTGCCTACCT